CTGTTCTAATATATACATCATTGAATACATTTTTTAAAAAAATATCTGCTTTGGCAGCATCTCATACATTTTGATATGTTGTGTCTTCATTTTCATTCCATTCAAAATATGCTCTTTCTTTCTTTCTTTGGTTGCTCTGGGTCTTAGTTGTGGCAGGCAGGCTCCTTAGTTGTGGCAGGCAGGCTCCTTTAGTTGCAGCTCGAAGGCTCCTTAGTTGTGGCTGGTGGGCTCCTGAGTTGCGGCTCACCAGCTCCTTAATTGCGGCATGCAGGCTCCTTAGTTGTGGCATGTGAACTCTTAGTTGCGGCATGCATGTGGGATCTAGTTCCCTGACCAGGGATCAAACCTGGGCCCCCTGCATTGGAAGCGCAGAGTCTTAACCACTGCACCAGCAGGGAAGTCCCTGCTCTACTTTCTTTTGTGACTTGGTCCATTGGTTGCTAGAAGTATGCTGTTTAATTTCTAAATGTTTGGAGATTGTCCAGATATCTTTTTGTTATTCACTTCTTGTTTAATGCTATAATAGAGAAAATATCACTTCTGGATACATCATAAACTTCTGAAAATTAAAGATAAAAATTCTTGAGAAAATATGTGGTAGAACAATGATTCATACATCTGCAGATTTCTCATTGGAAATCATGTAGGCCAGAAAACATTGGAACAGCATCTTTGAGGTGCTTAAACAAATTGTCAACTCAGAATTATATATCCAGTGAAAATTTCCTTCACGAAGAAGGGGGGGAAATGTCACACCTATGCTAAAAAGGAGTGTTAAGGGAAGTTCTTAGGTTGAATAGAAATGATACCAAATGGAAACTAGGAACTTCAGAAATGAAAAAAGAGCAACAAAAATAGTAAGTTTTTTTGTAAATATAAAATATTCTTTTTCTCCTCTTAAAAATGCAACTGTTTAAAATAAAATTTATAGCTTTCTTGGCTAGAGCACTGTATATAGAGAATACATACGACAACTAATTAAAGAATGGGGGAATTGGTAAAATAATAACAGTAAGTACACTGTGAAAAATATGTATATTGCAACCCCGGAGGAGGAAAAAAAAAAAGGTGATAATAGCCAAAAACTAATAGATAAAAAGGGATGAATTTAATTCTAAAAAGATTCAGCCCAAAAGAGGGCAGAAAAAGGGTCATAGAGGAAGAAAATCAAGGAGGAAAAACAATAAAATGGTAGACTTAAATCTGACCATATTAAAAATTACATGAAATGCTAATAACCTAAATATGCTAATTTTAAAAGATTGTTAAGATTGGATAAAGAACAAAAACTGAGTATATGCTGTCTAAAGGAGCCCCACTTTAGCTATAAGGGTATAGATATGTTAAAAGGATTAAAAAAAAAAAAGTACAATGCAAACATCAATCAAAAAAGGCTGGAGTCACTATATTAATATCAGACAAAATAGACTTCAGAACAAGGACTATTACCAGGGAGAAGTAGGGACATTACACCAAGCATCAGTTCACCACGTAGACATAACAATCCTAAATGTGTATCCAGAAAACAACAGAGCTTCAAACTACATGAAGAAAATCTGACAGAACTGAAAGAAGAGATAGAGAAATCCACAATTAAATGTGGAGATTTCAACACCCTTCTCAGTAATCAATACAAGCAGACTGAAACTCATTAAGAATACAAAACTGATTATTCCTACCTGAACAAACCATTAACCAGCTTGACCTTGCTGACATTTCTAGAACATGCTATCAGTACAACAGAGTGCACATTACTTGCATAAGCTTCAGTTTTAGCAATTTCTGTTGACCTGTCTGAGTTCAGTGGAGTTTCTGCTCCGTGTTTCTGATCTGTTTCTCCCACTCAGTTGCAGGTTTCTATGTAGCAGGGGCTAGGTCAATTTCTCATTGTGTTTATTGCCAAGTATAGGGATTAGCAGAAAAGAGTTATTCAGTATCTGTTTGGGGTTGGTGTAGTTTTCCAACAGGCAGCAGAAAATAGGAACCTTCAGCTATGTGAGATTGTGTTCAGATTTCCTGAAAATGCATGTGGGAGAATAAACAGTATAACTATTCCCTGTCCTTTATCTCAGTAAGTTTTGGTGGGATGCCGAAGCCACCAGCTTTTTCAGAATATTCCAAGGGTAATATACACCTATTGATAATTACTACCTAAAGTAAATATAGTTAGAAACAAACCAAGGCTAATGTGTGGCTTCTGTATACTTCATGGTGATAATGAGGATGATACAAATAATAGCTAACATTTATTAGGTGTTTATTATGAACCTCACTGGCTTTCTAATGCTTTGGTGCATTAACTTATCTGTTCTTCATAATAACCCTATTTTTATTTCCATTTTACAGATGAAGAAACAGAGGCATCAAGAGGTTAATTAACTTGTAAATGTTTACTTTGCCAGTAAGTGGCAGAATCAAGATTGAAGCTTGGTAGCCTGATTCTATAGCCTGGGCTCTTGGCCAAAGCCCTGATTTTATTAGACTGGCAAAGTTTTAGGAATTAATAAGGCTGCAGCCAAACCTGTTAAAAGGTATCCTGGAGCAGCTGAGTGTTAAAAGCTAACAGGGTCAAGGATGCAGGTGGGCAAACTACTGCCCATGGCTTATTTTTGTAAATCCCCTTGTCCTCCCCAGCTAAGAATTGTTCTTATTGGGTTGGCCAAAAGGTTCATTCGGTTTTTTCCTTTAGATGGCTCTAGTAGCCCTTAGTTGTCTTTAACTTCATTCGAAACAATTTTGTTAGATTGTACGTAACAGCTGTCATATCAGTGTGCATTTAAAAAAAGACTTATGAATTTTTGTGTAGCTGTTTTAATATTGAAGATGGAAGGAAAAGAAAGCAACATCTTTGGCATATTATGCCTTATTATTTCAAGAAAGGTAAAAACGTAACTGAAACGTGAAAAAAGATTTTTGCACTGTATGGAGAAGGTGCTGTGACTGATCGAATGTGTCAAAAGTGGTTTGCGAAGTTTCATGCTGGAGATTTCTTGCTGGACGAGGCTCCCCGGTTGGGTAGACTGGTTGAAGTTGATAGCAATCAAATCAAGACATTAAATGAGAACAATCAACGTTACACCACGTGGGAGATAGCCGACATACTCAAAATATCCAAATCAAGCATTGAAAATCACTTGCTCCAGCTTGGTTATGTTCATCGCTTTGATGTTTGGATTCCATGTAAGTTAAGTGAAAAAAAACCTTGACCATATTTCTGCATGCGATTCTCTACTTCAACGTAATGAAAACATTCCGTTTTTAAAACAAATTGTGACAGGCAATGAAAAATGGATACTGTACAATAATGTGGAATGGAGAAGATTGTGCAGCAAGTGAAATAAACCGCCACCAACCACACCAAAGGCCGGTCTTCATCCAAAGAAGGTGATGTTGTGTATATGGTAGGATTGGAAGGGAGCCCTCAATTATAAGCTCCTTACGGAAAACCAAACAACTAGTTCCAACAAGTCCTGCTCCCAATTAGACCAACTGAAAGCAGCACTGGACGAAAAGTGTCCAGAATTAGTCAACAGAAAATGCAAAATCTTCCATCAGGATAATGCAAGACCACATGTTTCTTTCATGACCAGGCAAAAACTGTCACAGCTTGGCTGGGAAGTTCTGATTCATCTGCCATATTCACCAGACATTGTGCCTTTGGATTTCCATTTATTTCGGTCTTTACAAAATTCTCTTAATAGAAAAAATTCCAATTCCCTGGAAGACTGTAAAAGGCACCTGGGACAGTTTTTTGCTCAGAAAGGTAAAAACTTTTGGGAAGATGGAATTATGAAGTTGCCTGAAAAATGGCAGAAGGTAGTGGAACAAAAGGGTGAATACATTGTTCAATAAAGTTCTTGGTGAAAATGAAAAATGTGTCTTTTATTTTTACTTAGAAACCAAAGGCACTTTTTGGCCAACCCAATACATATGAAAGGTTGTAAAAAGAACAAAAAGAACAGCATTCCACAGAGACAGTTTGTGGCCACAAAGCCCATGATCAGCCCTTTTTTGAGTTCTTCTTCCACAGATGACTTTGAAGTTGCTTGGGAATAGTAAATAAGATAAATAACAGTAAATAACTGTTGAGAACAGTAAATAACCTTGAGGAAGAACCCAAGAAATAACACTCCTGTTCTCCAAATCCTCCCAAGGGTCAAGCAGTGAGCCAATGCTTTATACAGATATAGTAGCATCACAGGCTTCTTTAACCTTTATTATATCCATGTGGGAAGAGGGAAGTATCAATACCAGTTGAGCCTCCTCCCGCTTCAGGAGGAATATGCACCAGCCACTAAACTTTTCAGAAGGGTGGGCTCAGTGTCTAAACAAATGTTCTTATCAGGGCAACAACTTATTAAGTGAGAAGCCATAATCTGTGCCACGCAGATTTCTTTCAACCCCATCTGCAAGGACAGTTTTATGATGTAGAATAGTATCTGCTTCTCTGCAGCTACAAGATAATAGAAAACATTGGTATAGTTACGACAGTTTTCCACTACTCATGCACATACTCCTAACAGCAATCTTACAATGTTGGTACTATTACGATCCCAATGCTGCAGCTTGCAGAAATGAAACCTAGAGAGGTTAATTAACTTAACCATGATTAAAAATATATAGCAAATATATAGCAGTACCAATATACAGCAATTTTATAGCAATGTGAGGTTTTGAAAACGAATGGTCCCCAGAGGCCACTTTTAACCAGTACCTCTCCTCTCCCACTTAACTGTCTCTCCTTTCCCACATTTCCCAGGATCAGAATGAGTACCTGGGGAACCTCGAGGTGTGTGAGAACTGCCAGGTATGGCGGTGCAGGCTGTCCCATGCTCGTGGGCATCCTGCCAGGATAGCCTAGTGGCAGCTGGACCCCAGCCCACACCCTGCTTGTGAAGGTGTGTGTGCCTGGGAGGAGGGACACCTTTTTCTGATTTGCACAGAGATGCATTTCCCCCTCTCTCATGGCTTCTTTCTTTTTACCTTTTGTGCCTCTTCAGGTCTCTGCCTTTCCCCAGGAAACAGAGAAGATGATCAAGTTCCAGGTGAGCTGGATTTTTATTTCCGTCACTTAACAGGTATTTCATTTCTCAGTAAGTGGACACCTTTTTTCTCTTCCTTGCCAAGCGTAAAGAATGACAGCAGACATTTAATACCATTTGTGTGCCGTGCTCTTTTGTTTCTTTTTTTTTAATTTCCCTTTTCAGTTTTTATTATCATTGTATTTCACAACTAATGGTGTGAAAGAGAATAGGAATTTTTAAAATGGGAAAGCCCACACATTATTACCCTGCTTACAAATCACCTGTGTTTTCCATGCTCATTTTTCATGTGCATTCATAACTATACTTGTAATAATAGATACAATTTTGAATTTTTTTCACTTAAAATTATAGCACTTAATTTTTGTCATCTAATATTATTTCAATGAACTGTTATACACTCTCCCCCATTTTTTTAACTATTCGTCATTCACAAGCTTTTAAATTCATGAGGATTCTCACAGTTTTACACAACAGTATCAGTTTCTCTACATCTAATCTTTACTCAAAAAGCAATTCTGAGAGAATTCTGATACTATTTGTCCTTATGTTCTAGGGACTCAAAACTTAAAAAAAATTTTTTTTTCTTAAGTGGTACCTTTGTAAAAAGACTACTTAAGGGATGGTTTTGTCTAACAGGGTCATACTGAGTCTGAACTCAGAAAAAAGTAGTGTTAGCTGTTTTTGTTCAAAAAGAGCTAGATTCTTTCCAGGACCTGTAAGCTTTCTTTGTGTGTGTCTGTGTCTGTGTGCCTGTGTGTCACACCATTCATGAATTAATTTATTAGAGCATTACAGGTACTTACTTTTAAAATTTTAGTCATACTATAAGGCACACAGGCACTTTCCATCTGTCGTGCTATTCACTGCTCTAAGAGGGACTTGGAATCATCTTCACTGTTAACATGAAGATAAGAGGTTCATGTAAGTTGAAAACCTGTTCAAGTTCCTGCAGTAGGCAAGTATCTGGCCAACTCCAAAGCCTTTGCCTCTGGATTAAGAGTATCAGGCATACCATTTGGGTGGAAAGAGGGGCAAAAAAACCCCAAACACACAGACAAACAAAAAACAAACCAGAGTTCTCATTCAGAGACCAAGACTTGAAGTTGTGATGTTCAGAGCTCCAGCCAGAACAAATACACTGTTGAGCAAGTCTTCATATAGAAATTTTAAATTTCCCTATAGGAAAAAATTAAAAGACAAATAGCAAGGTAGAAAGAAAAATCTTTATCACATACATGGAAGAAAAGGCCTTACTATCCCCAAATGAATGAATGTTATTACAAAACGAGAAATAGAGATGACCAGCAAACCTATGAAAAGGGAATGATCTTCATTACTAATCAACTTTGTGAAAAAAAATTTTTTTGCCGTACGGGTGGGACCTTAGTTCCCTGACCAGGGATCGAACCTGTGCCCCTTGCAGTGGAAGCGCGGATTCTTAACCACTGGACCGCCAGGGAAGTTCCGTGAAGATTTTTTGAGATAACTAGTTTTTACTTCCCAAATTGACTTCTGAGATTATCAAAGATTTTTTTTTTTTAATATTCATGTCCATTGTTGGCCAGGGTATAGAGGTTTAGGGATTTATACTTTCTTGGAAGCAGAATAAGTTAAGGAAAATCTTTTTGGAGGAAACATCTGCCATTATGGTTTCAAAACTTTGAAGTTTGTTATTCTTCAACATTACCATTTCTACTTTTTGTTATCTATTTTAAGGAGATAACCAGCAGAGTTCCAGGGACTAAGGTCTATATGGAAAGTTTTTTTTGCAACATTGTTTATAATAAGTAATCTAAAACTAAGCATGCATTATTTGGATCAGTTCACTATATTCTCAGTCATCAATTTCTTGAGTTACTGTGCAGCCCTGAAGTGGGATGCCAGAAATCGTCGTCGTCATCCATCATCATCACAATAATAGTTATCATTTACTGGGTACTTACTATGTACCAGTCACTGTTCCCGAGTGCTTCACCTATAGTCACTCGTTTTATTACCAGTACCCTAAGCTACAGTTATCAGCCTGCAAATGAAGAGAGGATGAGGACCAAGTCCAAGGTCCCACAGCAGAGCATCCTGATGTGAACACAGGCATTCAGGCTCCAGAGCTGCGCCCATAAATGCTGCACATCTAGATGGGGCACAGAGGAGGAGCTACATACTCGAACAGTAAGGGTGACTCGTGCCCTGTAGGATCAGCACATTGAATAAGTGGTGTAAGCGTATAAGAGGGAAAACAGACTCCATCACACGCTGTTGGAACTAAAGCTTTTCTAGCAGCCCACGCGATGCACCAGAGTCCCAGGGACTTACCTATAGGAGTACTAACAAAAGGCAGCCATTTAAAGTGCAAGGATGTCTTTTCCTGCAGCCCTTCTGGTGGATGGAATTGACAGTGTGAAAAGCAAACAGCGGGCAGCTACTGAAACTTGACTCGGTCCCTCGGAATCCGGAACAGCTTCCCATTCTTGACACTTTCTCAGTGCTGCCCCTCTTCCATAAACATAGTCTGTGTGTGTTTGGTATTGTAGGAGCCAGTGTCCTTCAAGGACGTGGCCGTGGTCTTCACCGAGGGGGAGCTGGGGCTGCTGGACTCTGCCCAGAGGAAGCTGTACCGAGACGTGATGCTGGAGAACTTCCGGAACCTGCTCTCAGTGGGTGAGGACTGGCGCCCTCTGTGACGCAGTGTCAGCCTCCTGGGGTGTCTTTGTGTACGCAGTTGCTTGAAGCCCTGGGACTCCTAAAATCATTCTTTGAGCTTGGGTACCTGGGAGTCCTAATAATCCCTGTGCAGCAGAGACAAGATGTTTCTGATATTTCTGTCCAGGAAAAAAATCTGTCCTTTGAACTATAAATGGGCAGCTTGTGGTGCTGCCCCAGTGGTTTGTCATAAAGTCAGTTTAGTGAGTTGCTCCAGCTTCTTTGTCTTTCAGGGTTCCAGTAACTGTAGTTGTTTTTGTTTTTGTTTTTGTTTTGGTGTGTGGGGGGGCACCACACCACACGGCTTGCGGGATCTTAGTTCCCTGACCAGGGATTGAACCTAGGACTTCGTCAGTGAAAGCACCGAGTCCTAACCACTGGACCGCCAGGGAATTCCCACTGTAGTTGTTTATAAATGTGATTTTTCACAGGTATTTTGTTTTTTGCTTTAACAATGTATTTGTAAATAACTTCAGACTTACAGAAAATTTGCAAAAGTAAAAGTATAGAACAAGAACACCCATACAGCTTTTACCTAGATTCACCTATAGTAACATTTTACCCTATTTAAATTTTATCATTTATGTGCGTGTTCTTTCTATCTCCATAAATATTTATATGTATGAAAACATATGTATATACCTAATTTTTTTTCTGAACCATTTGAGGGTAATTTACGTACACTATGGCCCTATTATCTCTAAATACTTCAGTGTATATGCAGAGTTCAGGAATCCCAAGACTACCCTTACTCTGACACCAGTTGCAAGCTCGGGGGGTCCCCTGAGCCTCAGTAATTTGCTAAAACTCTCAGAAGTCACTAAAAGCTGTTATACTCACAGCTACACTTTATTACATGGAAAGGATACAGAATAAAATCAGCCAAGAGAAGAGATGCCTGGGGCAGAGTCCAGGGGAGTTTCCAGCAGAAACTCCCAGCTGTCCTCTCCCAGTGGAGTCGTGGACAGCACTCAGTCTCCCCATCGGTGACGGGTGACTGTACATGCGGAGTGTTGCCAACCAGGGAGGCTCACACAAACCTTGGTGTCCAGAGCTTTGATTGCGGCTTGGTCACATAGATGTGGTTGGGCACCTACGTGGCTGACTTTGGTTTCCATCTGCCCCCTCACTCCCGGAAATCAAGCTGATACACATGGCCTAAAGGCCCCACCATAAATCACATTGTTAAACTCTCTGGTGCGGCCCAGGGCCTCCAGGTAAAAAAAGACACTCTTATCAGGCAGTACATGGCCAGTGCTTAGAGATCATCTCCCAGGAGCTGAGGGCAAAAGCCAGACCTCTCTTTGGGCAAGGTTAATACTTTACTGAACAGTATATTTTGTAGAAATAGGAATATTCTCTTACATATCCCCAGTGCAGATATAGTCCTTTTATCCAATCTATCATTTATACCCTAATTTTATCAGTAGAGCCAATTATCTAACTTAAAGCAAATTTTTTCTCTCCAGGGCAAGATCCAGCCTATGGTCTAGTCTAGCTGTCAGTGTTTCTTTAGCCTCCTTTAATATGGAGCATTTTCACAGCATTGCTTTGCCTTTTAAGACTGTGACTTTTTAAGGAATACTGCTACTCCCTCCCCCCATTTTTAATAGAGCATTCCTAGTATTTCCTCATAATTAGATTCAGATGATCCATTCTGGCTGGACCTCTGCAGTTGGTAGTGGTGTGTCCTTTTGAGGGTATCACATCTAGAGACATACCATCTGTCCCTCATTAGTGATGCTAATTTTCATCACCCCGTCAAGATGTCCAATTTCTCCACTGTAAGATTACTGCTTTGTTTCCTCTTGCAGTCACAAGGCAACACTTTTTAAGACCACACAAACATTTCCCTATAGACTTAGCATCCATTGGTGATTCTTGCCGTATCCAGTCTTTACCACGATAGTTACCAAATGATGATTTTCTGACTTCGTGCTTCCTTCACACGTAGCAGTGAGCACTTGGCATTCTACAGAAAGCAAGAGCCCCTCTCTCTTAACCATTTATTTATTTATTATTTGTAGGGACTTGTGAATTCTCTTATAAAAATGATTTGTAATTTATTACTGTAATAATTATCTTGCTAAAGTTGTTCCAAATTTGACCCCTTTAAGCTGACTCCTTGCCCTTGTAATATGCCCTCAGCTTTTTTTTGAGCACTGTCTTATTTGGGGGCATAGCATGCTGTCCTAGGCTCATCCTTTACTTTGCCCCAGCTCCAGAATCATTTATTTGATTTATTAGGGAATGGTATTTAACACCAAGGTCTAGATGCTAGGGATTGTCCTTGCCACTGTGGTTTCTTTGTTTCCTGGTCTCAGGGTTCAGAGCTAGGAGGTAGGGTGTGTCTGTGTGTGTGTATATTCATATACATACACATATACATGCACACATATTGATATAAATATGTATATATATGAATAGTTATTCAGTTTCATTCAAAACAAGAGAGATGTTAATTCAGATCATACTGAAACACCATTTTTCATCCATGAGATTAGCAAAAATTCAAAAACATAACACTGTATTTTGGGGGCAAAGCTGTGGGGAATAAAACACTTTCATGCATTGAAAGTAGGAGTGCAACTCAATACCACCCCTAAGGAGAGGAATTTGACAATATCTAACAGAACTATGGAGTTAACTTTTCCCAGTTCACTTGTAGGAATTTTCCCTAAAGATAACAAAGTGCAAAAGAGCATTAATAGTATACTAGTTTGTGTAAGGAGGAAGGGAAAATAAGTAAATATATGAATATCTGCTGACCTTTATAAGAAGAAACACAGGAAGGATTAATCCGGAAATCATGAAGTTAGTTTCTTATAAGTGGGTGGAAGGTAATAGTGTGGAAGGGATGTTTGAGAGACTTACACTTGTCTGAGTACACCTTTTTGTCTAGTTTGGACTTCTGAAAATATGTTGGTTCAACACATTCTGAAAATTAAATCAAATAAGAAGGCAAAGGGATGATAATCTAAAAGAAAAATGAATTGTATTTGAAATTAATACCTTAACCACAATGAATAGAGAAAAGAAAGTATTCACGGAAGTAGCTAAGGAACACGGTGTATAACTCTATACCCTTAGTTTTAGGTACAGTGGGAGGGGGATGGGAGAATGACTTGCAATCCTGAACACTTTTTAGTGGATTTGTTTATTGCTCTGATATGGAATAAGCAATTCTGAGACTATTTTAGATGTACTACAGGTGCCAAGGCCATTCAATGGAGAAAGTATCATCTTTTCAACAGATGGTGCTGAAGCATTTGGACTTCCATATGCATACATTTGCATGCCTCACATCTACCAAAAAATTAACTCAAAATGGATAAGAGACATAATGTAAAATGTAACTTCTAGAAAGAAACACAGGAGAAAATCTTCATGACCTTGGGTTAGGCAGAGAGGTCTTAGATATGATCCCAAAAACATGATTCAGAAAAGAAAAAAAACACACAAGTGGGACTTGGTCAAAATTTAAAACTTTTGCTGTCCTCGCCTTTTTGCAGGGAATCAGCCCTTCAAACCGGAGCTTATATTCCAGCTGGAGAGAGAAGAAGAGCTTTTGATGATGGAGACGGAGACCCAGAGAGATGGGTGTTCAGGTGAGAACCATCCAGCAGTGACCCAGAAGCCAGAGAGCCCCTCCTGAAACATGAGTCAGAAAATGTCAGGCCCTGAGGTGTCTGTCCCCTCACCCCCTCTAGCTTTCCATATTCTAGCTCATGCATCCTGTCCCAGCTGCACTGGCCCATTGCTGCCCATCAGACAAGCCAGGGTTACTTGGCTTGCTTTGCTCTGTGCCGTGACGGACTGAATCGGTTAATGCACGTGTGGTCTTTCACTGTCTTCGGTCCTCCATGAGGCAGCTAATAGGTATAGAATAAATCAGTGTGATGGAAGGATACTCCAGAATATTGTCTGTCGACTGATGAATGCCTGTCCTAATTCTAACTGTTCAGGTGTCCTTGAGTATTCATGGATAGGTAGCCATTATTCCTAAAAGATGAATAGCCAGTCAGCTAAAGGAAATATCAGAAATGATCAATACCAACATTATAATTGACCCTTCCCATGCAGCAATTTCAGGGGAGACACTCTTGCATTAACTTCCTCATTCAGATGCCCAGCTCTTTATCTTCCCATTCTGTCCTCTCTTCTCACTGTCGCATCCCCTAACACCTAAACAGTCTCTTGACCTAGCTACGGTTTTTTAAAAAAAATTTATTCAATTTACTTAAATTAAAAAAAAAAAACAACAGTTCACCTATTTTTCCCATCCCCCAACCGCTGCCTCTTGCAACCAACAGTCTGTTCTCTGTATCTGTGAGCTTGGTTGGTTTTGTGTGTTTGTTGCGGGGCGGGGGGTGGTGACTTTAAGTTCCACATATAAGAGAGATCAAGCTGCATTTGTCTTCAAATACCTCAAGGTCTACCCGTATTGTTGCAAATGGCAAGATTTCATTTTTATTTATGGCTGAATTTTCTTTATCCATTCATCCATCAGTGGACACTTAGTTTGTTTCCTTATCTTGACTATTGTAAATAATGCTGCAGTGTACATGGGGGTGCATATATTTTTTCTTTTTTTGTATGAATTTATTTATTTTTATTTATTTATTTTGGGCTGCGTTGGGTCTTTGTTGCTGTGCACGAGCTTTCTCTAGTTGCGGTGAGCGGGGGTTACTCTTCGTTGTGATGTATGGGCTTCTCATTGTGGTGGCTTCTCTTTGTTGCAGAGCACGGGCTGTACGCGCGTGAGCTTCAGTAGTTGTGGCACACGAGCTCAGTAGTTGTGGCTCGTGGGCTCTAGAGCACAGGCTCAGTAGTTGTGGCACATGGGCTTAGTTGCTCCACGGCATGTGGAATCTTCCCGGACCAGGGCTCAAACCCCCCTCCCCTGCATTGGCAGGCGGATTCTTTTTTTTTTTTTTTTTCGTGGTACACGGGCCTCTCACTGTTGTGGTCTCTCCCGTCGTGGAGCACAGGCTCCAGACGCGCAGGCCCAGCGGCCACGGCCCACGGGCCCAGCCGCTCCGCGGCATGTGGGATCCTCCCGGACTGGGGCACGAACCCGTGTCCCCTGTATCGGCAGGCGGACTCTCAGCCACTGCGCCACCAGGGAAGCCTGGCAGGCGGATTCTTAATCACTGTGCCACCAGGGAAGCCCCATATATCTTTTCGAGTTACTGTTTTCGTTTTCTTCAGATAAATACACAGAAGTAGAATTGCTAAATCATATGATAGCTCTATTTTTAATCTTTTGAGGACCCTCCGTACTGATTTCCATAGTGGCTGCACCAACTTCCATTCCCACCAGTAGTGTACAAGGGCTCCCTCTCCTCCACATCCTTGCCACCATTTGTTATCTCTTGTCTTTTTGATAACAGACATCCTAACAGGTGGGAGGTGATAATCTCATTGTGGATTTGATTTGCATTTCCCTGGTGATTAATGTTGTGGAGCATCTTTTTATGAACCTGTTGGCCATCTGTATGTCTTCTTTGGGAAAATGTCTATTCTGGTCTTCTGCCCATTTTTTTAATCAGATCGTTTGGTTTTTGCTATTGAATTGTATGAGTTCTTTCTATATTTTGGATATAACCCCTTATCAAATATATGATTTGCACATATTTTTCTCCCATTCAGTAGTTTGCCTTTTCGTTTTATTGTTGGTTTTCTTAGCTGTGCGGAAGCTTCTTAGTTTGACTGTAGCCCCACTTGTTTATTTTTGCTTTTGTTTCTTTTGCTTTTGATGAAGGATAAAATGATTTTTATCCTTCATTTTGTTAATGTGGTGTATCACACTTACTGATTTGCAGATGTCAAACCATCCTTGCATCCCTACAATAAATCCCATTTGATTTTGGTGTATGACCCTTTTAATGTGTTGTTGAATTCAGTTTGCTAATATTTTGTTTAGGATTTTTACATTATGTTCATCAGAGATATTGGCCTGTAATTTTCTTTTTGAAGTGGTACTTCCAAGTTGGACATATATGCGAGTCCAAACATTTTAGTAATGTTTTTAAGTCCTCAGACCCTGGTGTCAGAAGCCATGGTCACACCTGTGTAGCCAAGGATGCTCCTGGGTGAGAAGGAAAGTCAATTGAAAATTTCAAAACAAATTACTTCACTTCTATAATTTTTTGTTTCCATCTCAGTTAACATTCAGAGTCATAATAGGCAATATACTCTCTAGAGCAGGGGTCAGCAAAGTTTTTCTCTAAAGGTCCAGATAGTGAATATTTTAGGCTTTGCTGGCCATATGTGGTCTCTGTCACATATTCTTCTTTGTACACCATTTAAAAAAATGTAAAATCTATTCTTGTTCTTAAGCTACACAAAAACAGGGCTAGGGCCATAGTGTGCCAGTCCCCCTGCCTGATAGCATCAGTAGGAATGTAATGTCATATTTTAAAATATCTTTTTATTTAATTTTTTACATGTACTAACATGTATATACCATATATTAATGCAAAATTTTGAAAATGTACATTCTTATTTTTAATATACTAATTTTTCTCCTTCATGGTACCTTGAGCAAGAAATCCCTCCCAATCTGAGATTATCTCTTTTTAAAAATAATCATCACTACATAATCCAATATGTGGCTATAACATGCATCATTTACCCATTTTTTAATTGATGGGCATTCACTTCTCTGCCGTCTCCCTTGTTTTTTTACTACTAATATAGAAAGTACAGCAATAAAAACCCCAATCCAAATGTCGTTGGGTACTAGTGATTTTATTTCTGTGGAATAAATTACCTGGTGGCTCAGAGATTCAAATAGAAAAACCATCCTACTGAGCTGTTTTGTTTTTGGCTGCGTCGGGTCTTAGTTGCAGCACATGGGATCTTTGTTGAAGCATGCGGGATATTTTCATTATGGCGCAGTCTCTTCGTTGCAGTGCTCAGGCTTCCCTCTGGTTGTAGTGTGCGGGTTTTCTCTCTAGTTGTGGCGTGCGGGCTCCAGGGTGCGTGGGCTCCAGAGCACGGCTCCATAGTTTGCTGCACGCGGGTTCTCTCATTGAGGCGGGCTCTCTCATTGAGGCGGGTTCTCTCATGTGAGCTCAGTAGTTGTGGCTCACAGGCATAGTTGCCCTGCGGCATGTGGGATCTTAGGTCCCTGACCGGGATCGAACCCACGTCCCCTGCATTGGAAGGTGGATTCTTTACCACTGGACCACCAGGGAAGTCCCCTTACTGAGCTTTAACTTTGGAGTTGTAACCAAGAGAGACATAATTATCCCCATTGACTTTCCTGCAGCCTCTAGGAGCTGATTTAATTGACGTGGGCAAAGAAATATTTTTAAAATGATAGTCTTACAACCACTCTGTTAGCAGAAGAACTATCTCAATTTCCACTAGGAAGGAGAACGATGTCAATAAATAATGGCTTCTCTTTTTTTGGGCTGTATTGGGTCTTCGTTGCTGCGCGTGGGCTTTCTTTAGTTGTGGTGAGTGGGGGCTACTCTTCATTGCAGCGAGTGGGCTCTAGGTACATGGGAGTAGTGGCACATGGGCTCAGTAGTCGTGGCTCACAGGCTCTAGAGCGCAGGCTCAGTAGTTGTGGCGCATGGGCTCTGTTGCTCCGCCACATGTGAGATCTTCCTGGGCCAGGGCTCGAACCATGTGCCCTGCATTGGCAGGCGGATCCCTAACCACTGCGCCACCAGGGAAGTCCCAATAATGGCTTAACCGTCCATCTCCTTGCAAGATGTTCCAAGTCGCAACCCACCCACCTCTCCCAAAGTCGTCATCTGCACGAAGTCCCTAGTTCCTTCAGGCCAGCAAGGAAGGCTCAAGGTGAGAAAACCGAGAGGCAGGGGGACCAGCCCCTGTCTTTCTTTTCATCCCCTATTCAAAAATAAGTATATATTTCTTCATCTTTATTTCGTACACGTTAGCCATTAAATAAACAAACGTTAATGTAGATTTTAGACCGTTTTCAAGCCTTCATCCCCATAAAGATCTAGTGTATAATTTTCAACTGGTGACCATTATAACCTGAAAACAGTTGTACTCTCAGGTTTCATACATCCTGAGGGAAAGAAAGACTATATCTCAAGTGGTAATTTGTTCCCAGTATTTTGAAACTTCAGTCCATGTAGGCATGAAACTAAGAGGCACAAACCTACCTATTGATATTTTCCCAAGTTTCCGTATTTGAACTTTGCATTTGAGCCTTACGATTGTTTCATTACAAACTTTATGCCTCCCTCAACTATTTACACCAGTGGTCTTCATACTTTTTTGGCCATGACCTTCAGTATGTAATGTAACCCAGTACAGACCTAGGTGTGTATACATATCTGCAAGTCTGAGACAAGCATTTATGCACTGATACCCTGACATGCAGTGCAACTGTGATATTTTCTGTCCTTTTTAAAATTGCATGTCACAATCTATTAAATTGATCTTAAGCCTCACTAATGGTTTCCCACCATTAGTGTTCTTGTGCTGTTATAGGCTATTCATTCCAAATACATCCAGTAATATTCCATAATCTGTTTTCAGCCTTCTCTGCCAGTGATTAAATTTTGTCTTCTATTGGAAAGTGATAAGAAAAAATAATTTTACTTGGAGTGAAAAAGGTGATTTGTAGTCCATGTTTACATAAAATCAGCTTGTCAGTCCACATAAGTAAAATCTGTTTCATGGAATTGCCTGATTAATTTGATCAGAGGTGCAGAGTCAACAACCTTTTAGAGCCACCTACACCTGTTGCTGACATGAAGCTTCATGATCCCCAGGGGCTCTGAAAGGTGATCCTTTACCAACATTATACCTTAATGCTGCTGACTGCCACTGATGCAATCTGAAACTCCCAGCAGGGATGGAAAGGGAAGTTTCTGGTCCGTAGAGCCAGGCAAGCATCATTGCTGTATAAACCAAGGGCTTCTGGGCTTTTTTTTTTCCTCCATAGCAGATTATTCCTGTTTTTCATTTCCAGTGTCATCTCTAATTATAGCAAAACCATCTACTTCATTAACCAGCAGATACTTACTTTTAGTAATCTCCATCTTTCAAGTAATAAGATGTTCCCTGCAAATTATCTTGCTTTTTCTTCTCTTTCCTTGGTAGTTTGCTGGTTCCAGCTAGATCTGAATACCATTCCTGTCAGTAGTTCTCACGTAGCTGTTCTCAGCTATTTCCTTTGATAATTTTAATTCCTTTATGGCTTAATTAGAATATCAGACATCACTGGGTTAAGAGTTTTTGAAGTCATAACTTAACCTATATGTTAACCTTAACTAAACCTTAAGTTTTAATGCAACCTTTCATAAATACCTTATGATGTCTTACACATGCCAATCATGTTGATCTAGCATTACAATTCCTTGCCAGAATTTCCTTTTTAATAGAAAACTTACTACATTTGCATTAACTAACTGCAGACATAAAGTACATGTGGGTAAAATAGCATGGTAATAAAATATGACACATCTGTTTTTTAAATTATACATATGTTTAATTACTTTTTTCTTATAATTTTTAGATTTTTTTTGATCATTTACAGTGGTGACATCTGATCTCAGGCTGTGATAGGCTGGCCATTTTATGCTAGAATAGTCTTTGTTTTCTGCATTTCACTTCTTCTGTCTCCACCCCACATAACCCTGTTCTTGTTTTCAAACAGTCAGATCTCAGAGATATTGCAGGTTCAGTTCCAGAGTACTGCAATAAAGCAAATATTGCATATAAAGCAAGTCACAAATTTTTTGGTTTCCTAGTGCATATAAAAGTCATGTTTATACTATACTGTAGTTTACTAAGTGTGCAATAGCATTATGCTAAAAAAAAACAATTCACATACCTTAACTTAAAAATACTTTATTGCTAAAAAATGCTAACCATCATCTGAGCCTTCAGTGAGTCATAGTAGTAACATCAAAGATCACAGATAACCATGACAAATACAATAATGAAAAAGTTTGAAATATTGTGAGAATTACCAAAATGTAACACAGAGACATGAAATGAGCAAATTCTGTTGGAAAAATAGTGCCAGTAGGCTTGCTCAACATAGGGTTGCCTTCAATTTGTAAGAAACTCTACCTGTGAAGCACAATAAAGCAAAGCACAATAAAACAAGGTACGGAGTATATTTTTCCCTGTAGACTGAGTTAAAATGGCTTCTAAAGTGATAGCTTTGTGGCATAGAGTTGGATGTTGTAGCCATTGTTAATGTACATGATTAGAAAGAACTCTTCTTCTCAAGCTCACGTGGAACATTCACCAAGATAGACCATATTCTGAATCAAAAAACACACCTTAACAAATTTAAAAGAATAGAAATTATGCAGTGCCTGCTCTCAGACTGCAATGGAATTAAACTAGAAGTCAATAAATCAAATAACTGGAAAACCTCAAATGGAGATTAAACAATACACTTCCAAATAACACGTGGGTCAAAGAAGAAATCTCAAGAGAAATTTTAAGATATTTTGAACTACATGAAAATGAAAACACAACCTACCTAAATTTGTGGGCTGCAGCAAAAGCACTGCTTAGAGGAAAATTTATAGCATTGAATATATGTATTAGAAAAGAAGAAAGGTCTAAAATCAATCATCTAAGCTTCCACCTTAGGAAACTAGAAAAAGAAAAGCAAATTGTAAGCAGAAGAAAAGTAAGTAGAAGACAAGAAAAAGAATTGGAAATAAGAAATCAGTAGAGAAAATCAGTGAAACCAAAAGCTGTTTCTTTGAAAAGATGCCTAAAATGGATAAGCTTCTTAGCTAGGGTAACTAAGAAAAAGAGACACAAATTACTAATATCACAGAAATGCAAATTACTAATATCAGAAATGAAAGAGGGAACATGACTACAGAACCTGTGGGCATTAAAAGAATAAAAAAGGAATACTATGAACAAACTCTGTGCCCACAAATTTGACAGCCTAGATGAAATAGACCAATTCCTTGAAAGACACATTTGCCAAAAGGAAAGTAAAGCTATTTACTTTATTTGACATGCCTCGTATACTGTGTCCCTTCATTTCATTATTATATAAAATATTAACATAGTAATTGAAAGCTTTGCTTTTGAGAAACCAAAGACATCACTAGGCATTCTTTAAATTAATTTTTTATTGGAGTATAGTTGGTTGGCATTTTTTTTTAAAGTACTACTGAGATGAGTACTCATAGACATGCCGTAAAGTGTTACCCTGCAGTCAGTGAACTGCCCCGGATCCTGCTGCCACGCAATCATCAGTGTGGCCTTTTATTTTTAATTTTTTTATAAATTGGGCATAGGGTGGGGCTACAGGTAAGATTTTATACAAGAAAAACTACACCATTTATTTTCAAAATTAAAAAGGCACAATCCACAAGATTCTTGTGACCTTTGCTTTTCTCATCAGCAGGTGATATCTGAGTGTAGCCCTACCTCTCATACAGCCTTTCAACATTGCAGTAAAACTGCCATCACCAATTCCTTTCCCATGAAAAATAACTCAGCACATATATGCCCTTTCAGTTCTGTGAGTGAGAGTGACTCAAGCTGTGATCTATCCATTATGTGCTTATTGAGCAACTACTATTCACTAGGAGTGTTACAGGCAGTGAGGGTAATGCTGTGTACACAGCGAAGTGCTTGTCCTTGTGGGTAATCCACCCCAGTGTGGAGAGACAGAAAAACACAAAGAATTATTATGTTTGAGGATAATGTTCATGTTATGAAAGGAATCCTCTTTTACTGCTTCCCCCCCCTCCCCCGCCGGATGCTGAAAGAGAATTTAACATACTGCCAAGTGTTAGGAGAGTGCACGTTATTACTTCAACCCCGTTGGACCACCGGTCCTCAGGGAGTATACTTCTCACCAGGATATGAAGATCTGCTGCCTGCTGATAATCTGAGCTTTCATAACTAAGGGACAAGCCATTTCCACCCAAACATACGCATCTTCAACTCTTCTGGAGCCTCAAATTCCCTAAACGTTAAAGTAATTTTCCAGCAAAATGGTGCAAGCCAAAGTCAATGTTCACTGAGTTTTGTTTGTTTGATAACAAAGGACACCTACTGGTGCCATAAAACTTGCCTATGGTTCCCTCAGCCTCCATTTTTTTCTGATGTCTTTGGAGTTGAATTCTGTCACCCGTGTTTTACATTCTGACCTGCACCATAGCCCTTGATAATTGCAAAATATCTTTTGAAAGGAGTTAAAGCTGATAATGGCTTACAGTGACTTAGAAGAGCTTATTAGTCTCATGAAGATAAAGAGTGAATTAGAGATAGGCAGTTTGATGCCTCAAGCATAAAGATCTACTTTTACCTTCACCTGCACAGCATTTAACATGCAGTCTTCTTAAAAACAAACAAAAATGTTACCATGCCCATTACTATCAGGGCAAAAAGCATTTATCCACTTGAAACTACACTCTTTCCGATTTGAGACTGTCCCCTTCTGTTTTCTTGAAATCTCCAGGCAGCCCATGATAATATGTGTATGGTTTAACTAGGCATTTTGAACAGGGCCACCATCTTCGATGTCCAGGTTGTGTTGCAAAGCCCTGATTTTGAGGCATGCAGATAGCCTGAATTCTGTGGATCCTACTTATATTCCTGGTGTAGCCAAAGATGAGCCATTTTCTAAGTATCATCAGAGGTAGTAACATGAATTTTCCTCCAGTTTATTGAAGTTGCATATCATCATCTAAGTGCAAAATCTTGAAATCTCTGAATAAAAGCATTCACTGTGTACACGTCTAAAATCTCTTTATTCTTATAGGAACCAAGAGTCAACATAATATGGAAAGTATTCAAGAAGTGGGATTAAGCTGCCTTTCCCCCAAAGAGCTTTCCACCTGGCAGACCTGGCAACAAGGTGCAGGCAGGTTAACTGGGTGTCAAGATTCGATGAAAATTTTTCAAGAGAATATTTCTCAGCTGCAAAAACAAGGCAATTCCCCCTGCCAAGTTTGGGCAGGAATACCGATTCAGATTTCTGAAGATGAGAACTACGTATTGACTCATATAGGAGATGGGTCCCATGACGTAAAAAGTCAAGAATTTCCCTCTTGGAGAGCCCAGCATTCCTGGAGGAAAATGTATCTTACAGAGTCACGTAATTATCAGTGTAGATGTCAGAAAATTTCCATGAAAAATGATTTCTGTGTGTCTGAAAGTATCAGTTGGATCTCACATCACAATGATAATCTGGCTGTACACAGAACAGAAAAAATCTATAGCTGCCATGACTGTGGAGAAGATGTCATGAAGGTTTCATTGCTTAATCAAGACTTAATTCAGACAGGGCAAAAGCCCTACCCTGGTAATGAGTACAGAAAAGCCTTCAACAATGACTCCAGTTCTGAAGTTCTTCAGCAGTTACACTTAGAAGGAAAGCCCTGTACCTACAGTCCATGTGGAAAGGACTGTAGTTACAGTTCAGTTCTTCATACTCATCAAAGTGTTTGTAGAGGAGATAACTGTGTTTCTGAGAGTTCACATCTGCAATGCCATCAGAAAGTACACGCAGAGGAGGTGCCATTTAAATATGAATATGGTGAGAATGTCAATCAGTGTTCCTCTCATAACACATATGAACTTACTCACACAGGAGAGGTGTCCAACAGATGCAACATTTATGAGAAGGGCTTCAGTCATAGCTTAGACCTTAGTAGTAGTTTTAGGGTCCATACTGAGCAGGAGCCCTATGAATTTGAGGAGAATGGGAATGCCTTTAACCAGAATTCTTGCCTTCGAGCCCATCAGAAAATCCAAACTGAAGAGAAACTATACACAGATGTGGAGTGTGAGATGGGTTTCATTTGTAACTCAGATTGTAACATTCAGCACAGAGTTCACATGGAAGAGATTCCCTATAATTCTGAGGTGTGTGGTAATGGCTTCAGTCTGGCCTCACATTTTCAAGACCTTCAGATAGTCCACACTAGGGAACAACCATATAAACATTATACATGTGGTAACAGCTTCAGCCAAAATTCATATCTTCAAGGCCATCAGAAAATTCACATTGGAGAGAAACCTTACAAGGAGTGTGGGAATGGCTTCAATTGGAATTCAAAACCTAAAGATCATCAGAGAGTCCACACTGGAGAGAAGCCATACAAATGCAACGCATGTGGTAAAGTCTTCAGTCATAGATCAATTCTTAATGTTCATCAAAGGGTCCACACAGGAGAGAAACCTTTTAAATGTGAGGAGTGTGATAAGGGATTCAGTCGGAGTTCATACCTTCAAGCCCATCAGAGAGTCCACACTGGAGAGAAACCATACAAGTGTGAGGAGTGTGGGAAGGGATTCAGTCGGAGTTCATACCTTCAAGGCCATCAGAGAGTTCACACTGGAGAGAAACCATACAAGTGTGAGGAGTGTGGGAAGGGGTTCAGTCGGAGTTCACACCTTCAAGGCCATCAGAGAGTTCACACTGGAGAAAAACCATTCAAGTGTGAGGAGTGCGGGAAGGGATTCAGTTGGAGCTTTAATCTTCAAATTCATCAGAGGGTTCACACAGGAGAGAAACCCTATAAATGTGGAGAATGTGATAAGGGCTTCAGTAAGGCCTCAACTCTTCTGGCCCATCAGAGAGTCCACACAGGAGAGAAGCCATACCAATGTGATGAGTGTGGTAAGAGCTTCAGTCAGAGATCATACCTTCAAAGCCATCAGAGTGTCCACACTGGCGAGAGACCATATATATGTGAGGTATGTGGGAAGGGCTTCAGTCAGAGAGCATATCTTCAAGGTCATCAGAGAGTCCACACCAGAGTGAAGCCATACAAATGTGAGATGTGTGGGAAGGGCTTTAGTCAGAGCTCACGCCTTGAAGCACATCAGAGGGTCCACACAGGAGGGAAACCGTACAAATGTGAGGTGTGCACAAAGGGTTTCAGTGAAAGTTCACGCCTTCAAGCACATCAGAGGGTCCACACAGAAGGGAGGCCCTATAAATGTGAACAGTGCGGTAAGGGTTTCAGTGGGTTTTCAAGTCTTCAAGCCCATCACAGAGTCCACACTGGGGAAAAGCCATACAAATGTGAGGTGTGTGGTAAGGGCTTCAGTCAGAGATCAAACCTCCAGGCTCATCAGAGAGTCCACACGGGAGAGAAACCATACAGATGCGATGCATGTGGTAAGGGTTTCCGTTGGAGCTCAGGTCTTCTAATTCATCAAAGAGTCCATAGTGGTGATACATTCTATAAAAGTGAAGAGTATGGTAAGGATTATCTTTCTTCAGAGAATCCATACAAAAGTGAAATTCTGTAAAATGGTATTCTATTGCGTTCTGAAGTCCTCAAACGAGAGCTGAAATTTTCCATTCACTCCAGTTCTTAAAGTAGAAAAAGAATTTCTTTCATGAAAAGGTAATGTTTCTGCCCAACATCAACATTCACAATAGTCAGGAGACCACACAGCAGAGACATCTAACGAGAGGGGTTCCATACGGGATTTTGTGAGAACTTTAACGTCATTGCACGTTACTTTAAGCAGTTGTTGCACTAGGGCTTAAACAAGATATGAGTATAGTCAGGATTTTAACAGAAGCACAGTGATGAGCATGCCTAAATCCACGTCCACTGGAATGTAAAGTTAATGAGAGAAGGGGCTTCATGCATTGTGAAGTCTCCAAAGCCACGACACTGCATAACTCAATATTAGGTGCTCAGTACTTTTTGCTGAATGACTAAAAGTGTGTAAAGGTATCGTGTTTGGAATTTTTATTAAGCTGCTTTTCTCCAAAAAGTCATTTTAAAATGTATTTGGAGGAGGAATACTGCAAGTAATGTAAGCACTTCAAGTAAATATTATTTGAAATGTATCAGCAATATCGCAATCTGAAACTACATGAATTTGGTTGTAACCCTTTTGGGAATAGTTCTCTCCCCTTGTCCCTCGTGTAAGCAGGGATGAACTGAATTTCTTACCATTTGGTCTCTTTCTCTACAGTATACTATCCGTTCAAGTTTAGCTGTGAGTATGTACACCTGTGTGCACTTTAAAGGACAGTACAAACTGATAAAACAATGTTTCTGGTTAACTTTACAAAAATGGAACACTGCATTTCACATAATTGAATTTTTACTCCTGCCCTGTGTGTTAGGACAGAGTTTTACTGTAATATTTGGAAAGTTGCAGAAATGGTTACTAATGACAAATACTTCCTTAATAAATGTCAAAATTACAATACTTGGTTTTTTAGTCTCCATATTTCCATCAAAATCCTTTTGATCTGACTGATTTCTAGGTGTTATAGCCTTTGTCCAATTCAGACCTCCTTAGGCAGGATCTGTGACAAGTTTGGAGGACTTTAATTTTGTCAAGTTTCACACCCCCATACTTCTTCCACTCACACAAAGAAAGAAAAATATCAATATTTGTTTATTGAAGTATAGTTGATTTACAATGTTATGTTAATTACTGCTGTACAGCAAAATGATTCAGTTATACATACATATACATTCTATTTTTTATTCTTTTCCATTATGATATATCATAGGATATCGAATATAGTTCTCTGTGCTATACAGTAGGACCTTATTGCTTATCCATTCTATATATAAAAGCTTAGATCTGCTAACCCTAACCTCCCACTCCATCCCTCCCTCAACCCCCTTCCCCTTGGCAACTACCAGTCTATTCTCTATGTCTGTGACTCTGTTTCCATTTCATAGATAGGTTTTTCTGTGTCATATTTTAGATTCCACATAAAAGTGATATCGTATGTTATTTGTCCTTTGCTTTCTGACTTACTTCACTTAGTATGATAATCTCTACTTACATCCATGTTGCTGCAAATGGCATTATTTTCTTCTTTTCTATGGCTGAGTAGTACTCCATTGTATATATGTGCCACATCTTCTTTATCCATTCACCTGTTGATGGACATTTAGGTTGTTTCCATGTCTTGGCTTTGTGAATAGTGCTGCTATGAATATAGGGAGTGCATGTATCTTTTTGAATTATAGTTTTGTCTAGATATATGCCCAGAAGTGGGATTGGTGGATCGTATGGTAATTCTATTTTTAGTAAAGAAAGGAAAAATATTGAATTTTTCTAAACATTTTTTCAAATGTATTGATTATTAGGATAAGATTTCCTTTTACTTGCTAGTCTCTGTCTTCAAGAACAATGCATTTTGTTGGAGGGAGTGAAAAATACAAGTTTGTTAGAGAAGAGTCGTACAATATGTATCAAAATGTAAAGTGTACGTACCCATCTGGAAATCATAGAATAATAATTCAAGGTAAAGCAGTTTTAACAGAAAGGATGTGTACATAAGGGTAATTTTTTAAATTGGAAATTAATAAGAGTTCAGATAAATATCTTTGTGTTCCTATAATATGGAGCTACAGAAAGTATGAAATCAATCTAAAATGACAGAGAAGACTCACGCATCTTGTTCAGTAAAAACGCGGATCGTACCTTCATAGTATCCAGTTATCTTAGGTCTGTATGCATATATGTTCAAGTACATGCTTAATAGATTATCTGTGAAAGATTACTCACTGTCCTGTATACAGCGGTTTTCTGTGACAAGCAGAATTTTGGCTTAGTCTTTCTTGTACTTTATTTTTAAAAATTCACAGTTAACATTTTACCAAAGCAATAAACTACTGAGATATTGCCCCTTATAGTTAAGAACTCATAATGTGATCACTCTATTTCATTAGATGGCATAAAAAAGTCTCTAGAGAATACAGATAAATTAGGTGTTAGCAGCTTTACCTTTCTATAAAATTTCTTTAGGTCTCAAAGCACATGCAGCCTTAAATCTCCTAGTACAATTCAGTAGTAGTATAAATTGGTGCACCATAGTTTTTCTGTCAGATTTCAGCCCGTTGGGTGAATGGGGTGACCAAGGCACTGGCTTAACCTGGCTTCCAAGGTGCTAGTTCAAGTTTCACAGTATCATCAGAAATTCAGGGCTTCTAATGCATTTCTTTGCTACAGTCACTTCCAAAGGAAGATCATGAGAGCTCATGGTGGTTTTATCAGTTAGGATGCTTTTAGTTGTAGGTAACAAAATGTAGCTCAGAATTGCTTAAACCAAAAATGTTTCTCAGTTCATATAAGTGAAGAGATGTAGGTAAGGTAAGACTTGGGTCTGGGTCAGTCAAGGAGACTTTATTTTGCTTTAAGTCTCTTACCTCTGTCCTTTTATGTGAACTCTTGTCTTCAGTTTGCTCACAAATGAAAGTATCACCTGCTTTATTGTTCGCAGCCTAGAGAAGAGAGTTTGTCTCATTTTTAGTGTTATGTAGTCCTAGCTCCCCCAAATTCACAAGGTGTCTGATCTCTCCAATCCCCACTCAAGACTAAGACTAAACCAAGACAATACAGAACATCCCTGGTCCCCATAAACATGCTAGCTTTCTCCTAGTGACAAGCAATAGCAGGCTACGTTGGGGAAAAGGCAAGAACATGGACAGAGAATCCCTCTGTGGCACAGGTGCATAGGGATAGCCAAAAGCTGAAGGTGGAGAAGGAACATTGAGGAAAATCCTCCAGCACTCCACCCCCCACCCTAAGCACAAGGTAACATTAGAAAATTTTGAAGCAGTGTACTGAAGATAACTATTGCAACAACAGAATCCAATTTCAACTTAATTCCTGACCAGACTGATTCAACACCCCACCCTAACATCCTAGCAGAACAGGTGTGCCCAGTTCCAGGCAAAAATACTATTTATTTCAGTCTCTACTGTTTGAAACATGGTATCTTGCATTCAGTAAAACCTTACAAGATTAAAAAAAATACAACCCTCTGCCAAGAGACAGCAGACCAATCAATAAAACCACACTTAGAGATGACTATATTTTGGAAATGCCAGAGAATTTTATATGACTGGTTGATGTGTTGAATGCTTTCATGAAAAGGGCAGACAATAGACATGAACAGATGAGGGAATTTCAGTGGAAATTAATATAGAATCAAATGGGAAATGCTAGAAAAGAAAATTTATCACAAAGGATGATTTTGAAGGACTTGTAAGTAGGCTAAACACAGCTGAGAAAAGTGTCAAAGAACTTGAATAAAGGCTAATCAAAATCATCCAACCTGAAACAAAAAGTGTAAAGAAAACAGAATAGAGTATCCAAGAACTATGGGGAAACTTTTTGTGGTCAAACTTACGTATAATTGGAAACCCAGGGTGAAAGGAGAGAGAGAATGAGAAGAAAAATATTTCAAGAGATAGTGGCCACGAATATTTTTAAAATAATAAAAGACTTCACCGAATCCAAGAACTCAAGAATACACAAGCAGAATTTTAAAACAAACAATGCAAAAAACAAAAAACTAGGCACATTATTGCCAAACAGCAGCAAATGAACAATGCAGGAAATATTGACAGAAAAAGGCCACATTACATACAAAGAACAGAGATGAGGAAGAGAGGAGACTTCCCATCAAAAACCATGTAAGCCAGAAGGGACTTCCCTGGTGGTCCAGTGGTAAAGAATCCGCCTTCCATGCAGGGGACACAGGTTCAATAACTGGTCAGGAAACTAAGATCCCACGTGCCACAGGGCAACTAAGCCTGTGCACCACAACTACTAAGCTTGTGTGCCTCAACCAGAGAGCCTACATGCCGCAAACTACAGAGCCCATGCCCTCTGGAACCCGCTTGCCACAACTACAGAGCCCATGTGCCCTGGAGCCTGTGCACCACAACTAGAGAATAGATAACCCATGCACCACAACTAGAGAGAAGCCTGTGTGCCACAACGAAGAGCCCGCATGCTGCAACCAAAGATCCCACATGCCTCGACAAAGATCCCGTGTGCCGCAACTAAGACCCAACACAGCCATAAATAAATAAATAAAACTAGAGAGATTTCTTCTCCCCCCAACTTAAAGGAAAAAAACCAGGGGCTAAAATCCAGGGGCTTCCCTGATGGTGCAGTGGTTAAGAATCCACCTGCCAATACAGGAGACCCGGGTTCGAGCCCTGGTCTGGGAAGGTCCCACATGCCTCAGAGCAACTAAGCCCATGTGCCACAACTACTGAGCCTGTGCTCTAGAGTCTGCGAGCCACAACTACTGAAGCCCGCAGGCCTAGAGCCCATGTTCCACAACAAGAGAAGCCACCGCAATGAGAAGCCAGTGCACCACAACAAAGAGTAGCCCCTACTCACCACAACTAGAGAAAGCCCACATGCAGCAATGAAGACCCAATGCAGCCAAAAATAAATAAATAAAAAATTTTAAAAAACGTAAACCAGAAGACATTGGAGTAACATCTTTAATATTCTGAAACAAAATACTGTGAATCAAAAATTCCAAGCCCAATGAAAA